CACACAGACCACAAAGCTCTACAATTTTTGAGTACGTGCGTTCAAAATAATCATCGCATAGCGAGATGGTTCGAATTCATGCAAGAATTTGACCTCGAGATAATACATATTCCTGGTAAGGAGAACGAGATTGCGGATACTCTATCGAGATCCAATGAGGACGAAGATCCGGATGAAGACGACGTAAAGCGCATAGCGCTGATCAGAGATCATTATGACGGAGCAAATACAGAAGAATGGATACCATGGTTACAAAGGATCCAAGCACAAGACGAAGAACTACAGATAGCGGTACAGGAGCAACCGGAAGAGGTCTACCGAAGAGACGGTTTGATCCGAGTACGATGCGACGATACTGACCGTGTAGCAGTACCACCCAAGCACACATGGGGGTTGATAGCAAAAATTCACCGTTTACTGATACATTTCGGGACGGATAAAGTAATAGCGTTTACGCAAAAGTATTTTCACACATTTAGAGTAGCAAGAATAGCGAGAGACGTTGTAGCGTCGTGTAAAATATGTCAGATGACAAAATACTATGGGTCTGGTATAGTAACAGCTAGTATACCCACAGTCGGTAGACAATACTACGACTTGCCTGAGGAACCAATGAAAACGGTTTCTTTAGACTTGTTCGGTCCATTGCCAAGGACGCGACAAGGATTCAAATATATATTAGTACTGATGGATCAGTTTTCGAAACTTACGAAATTCTATCCAATCAAAGACCAGAAGTTTGACACCATAGTCGAGACATTAGAATCGAGATTTTTTAGAGAAGTGGGAGTTCCGGAAGAGATTTTGACTGACAACGGAGGCCAATTTATAACGGCGAGGTGGCGGAATTTTGCCACGGAGCGTGGAATCAACACGAGAAAAACTTCGCCTTATAACCCACAGTCAAATCCGGTGGAGAGAGTGATGCGCGAACTTGGACGCGTTATCAGGGCATACGCCAGCGACAGACAACACACATGGTGGAGAATAGTAAGCAGAGCAGAAGATGTCATAAACGACACCGTTCATTTATCAACGGGACACACACCCAATGAAATTCATTACAACGTGGAAACACACTGGCACGTTTGCGACGAATTGCGACCGATGCCTACGCAGCAAGATGAAGAAGATAGATTAGAAAGAGTACAACAGGCGAAAGATAGATTAGCCAGTCAGGCTAGAAAAAGAAAGGTACAGGCTGACAAGCATGAGGTGGCATCTAGGCTACAACCGGGTGACGGCGTAATGGTCAAATTGCACCGCAGATCGGATGCAAATCGAAGGTTGACTCGCAAGATTCACCTAGTCTACGATGGTCCATATCGTGTGGCGCAAGAAGTGCGCGAAAATGCCTACTTGATAGAGAGTTTGGATGGACATCCGAAAGGAGTCTATAACTCACGGCAATTAAGACCGTACAGAAGACCAAGTCTGAAAGAAGATCAAGATAATAGCGACGGGGAAAGTAACAATTCGCACAGCGAAGATGAAAATTCACATCAAGAAGATGATGATTCGACAAACGAAGATATTAATTCACAACGTGAAGATTTAGAAGATTTTGATAGTCAAGAAGACGAATTAGAAATTTGCGTGATAACCATGCACGAATTAACGTCATCGGAAGAGGACGATACCGACTCGGACTGCGATTGGAAACGTCCAATAACGATTAACCCAGACAGCCGAGGAGTACGATGAGCGTTTCAATATAATAAATGTAAACATCAATGAAGATCTTAACGAAGAACAACATAATTTTGCCGAAAAGCAAAGTAAAACTAATCAATTAACCGGTGAGTCAACAATGAAGACAGCCGAGGAGAATAAAACTTGTCAATCAATAGAGACGAAGATAAAAATCGAAAATACCGAGGAGCAACTCGAAGATGCCGAGGAGCATAATTATCAAATGAATACATCACAGGAAGATATTAAGAACGAGATTAAAGAAGAAATTACCGAGGAGAACACCTCGAGACAAATAAACACTGCAAGTAATACCGAGGAGCAAATTGAAATTAAGGAGGAGATAGGCGAAAATGCCGAGGAGAACGCCGAAAAGCGTAATAAACTAATTAACCGATCCGAAGAGGACTACATTGAAGAACGAATAACTGAAATGGAAAGAGAGATAAATGAAAAATTAAGTGACATCAAGAGAGAAGAAGTGGGGGAGCCTTTCGATAAGAAAGATGACTCCTTCATACACATCAAGAGGGTTCGTACTTACCTGAGGAGCGGAAGCGAAGATTCCAGTGACGATCCGGGAAAACAAGACGACCTGAAACATAAAAACAAGAGATTAAAATTAAATAAAGAAAATAAAGAAGATACTTACCAAAGGAGTGAAAACGAAGCAAAAGATTCTAAAGAAGATCCAGAAAATGATGACAGCTATGAAAAATGGAAGAAATTGAAAGATTACTACAAAAGATCCAGTGACGAACCAGAAGATGAGGAAGAATACAATAGATGGAAGAGGAGAAAAAAGCAAGTAATGGAAATAATTAATAAGCATGTGGTAGGTGTGCTTAAACAAGATAACGAACATCGAGCTGAAAGATGCCGAGGAGAAGGAGCGGTGGAACAAGAAAACTCGAAACCAGCGAACGTTGCGAATCCCGCGACGAAAGTCAAATCGCTATTGGCGGAGAGGTTTCACGTAGCATCCTGCAGTCGATTGACTGATTCTGAAATAGAAAACGAAGAGGAAGATAATAATTCGGAAAACAAAGACACCGAAGAAAGAGATAACCGATTAGAGTCACCGGACGAAATTATGTTGAGTGAAAGCAGTATGAGCGAAGGAGAAGAGCGAGAAATCGCGAATTGTTTCAATCAGATTCAAGAGATAATAAACAGAAGATTTAATGGCAACAATGTCAATAACGACAACCAACAACGCGAAAATGCGAACGAACATCCAGAGGACAACAATTCATCCGATGGACATAGTCGAAATGACGAAAATGGCAAAAATCAGCCAGAAGAAAATGAAATTTACGATAGTGAAGAAGAAAGAACGATTATATCGTCAAGAGGATCAACAAGATCATTTAATAGCACATTAGAAGAAAAATTATGCATATCCATGAAAGATCCAAGCGAAATAGTATTTTCCGAACAGGAAAGATTAAATGTAATAAGTTACAGCGTAAAATTCAGAAGCAATCCAGGACATAGGATATGCGAGCCAATCAACGGCGAGATAGAAGTCGCAACGAGCGACGCATATGAAACAACCTTAACGCGTGTGCGCGACACACTACGTAGCGAGCGCCATAACGGCAGATTGAATCGAGCAGCCGTAGTGAACGGACACTCGAGAGCCAGAGTCCACAGAGCTCAGAAAAGTTTTATCGATAATAGTAAAGTGCCAAAGAACAACAAGATGAGTCGAGAGAAGAGAAGACTGGAGAGATGGGAGGATAACCTCCAACGTAAAGTGAAAAAGTACACCGATCAACAGCGCATGCTGGGAGTGCGTCAAGACAGAATAATGCACATGGAGAGATACGAGAGAGAACTGTCTCCCATGGAAAGCGACGACGAGACGTACGATCGAGAAGAGATTTCGGCACAAAACAAGACCATCAAGATCATAAAAGAGTGCGAACGAGCCCGCGGCAGAAACGTATTCGACGTGGGGACTCGTAAGATCAAGGACGACGCAGGAAACGAGGTGGCGGATATCAAGACCATCTACGTGGTACGCGACTTAAGAAAGAAAGACGATAGGAGACAATTCTCATACGAGATAAATGCGACGATTACGCAAGGTACAGTGACAGTGACGACAAGGGCGAGCGAAATCAACGAAGCGACCCCGAGAGCGATAGCATCCACGAGTGCGACGACTACGTCGAGCACAGCTTCAACGCCAAGAATAATGATAATGCCGCAACAATTAGCAGAAGGTCAGCAACAATTAATAGTACTACCGTCCGGAGATATGGGTACGTTGAGGAAAATAGCGCCGAAGACGTCGAGCGTGAACCAACCAATCCCAGCGCAACAACAGCCAATGAAGAAAAAGGGTCAGCAAGCGAGCACCGAAAAGGATCGTAGAAGCGGCCAATCAAAATCGAAATCTCCAGCGACCAAATCGAACAAACCCACCGTAATCAAAACGGAAATAATCAAGAAACAACAAGTGAGAAAGTCGGCAACGAAGGCAAAGAAGCAAATCAAAAGATATTCCAAGGAAATCACCGAATCGAGCAGCGAGGAAGAACGACAGGAAGTTCGACCCGAGGAACAGCTCAAATTACCCACCAGAGTCGACGAGATTAAGAAATCCGTGTTGAGTAAAATACTCATCAAGGATTTGCCGAGGAGGATGAAACCGACGGCTGCACCATCAGTTTCAGCGTCGACCTCCGAGCTTAGCGGCGTAACACACCAGCCAACCGAGGCGGCCCAGACGAGCGACTCAACGCAGGGCATGGAGAAGCCGTACGAGAAGCCGGGGGAACCGACCAATCCCGACACCGAGAACATCGAAGGGGCAGAGGACTGCAGCTTCGAGAGCGTAGCGAGTACGCAGATCCTCTCGCCCATTGAGGAGATCATCTCCGAGGCAATCCGCCTCGAACAAGGTCAGCCAGTCGCAATACAGCCCGCTGGACACGGCGAGGTACCCACACAGCCCGCTGGACACGGCGAGGCGTACATACAGCCCGCTGGACACGGCGAGGCACCCACACAGCCCGCTGGACACGGCGAGGCGATTAAAGTCATAACCGGCCAACCGAGGAGCACCGGGGACGACGACGAGAAAGACTTCGGTCTGATGAGCCAACCAGCACCGCCGGGCCAATAGGAGGACTCCGTGCGACATTTGAAAAACATTTTATATAACACTGTTATTATTAATCATTAGTGCATGTGCAATTCGTACTAGAACCCGAGCGAGGGACCAGAATTCATAGAGGACGTAATATTTTACTTTATTTTATTTTATTTTGTTCATTTCATTTTATATGATTGTGCATGTAACGACAACGACTCCGAGAGAGAGCGATTTTTTATTATAAGAAATACATATATAACTTTGTCATACCTGACATCCTTAATCATTCCTTACCTACCACAAAACATAATTAAATTCACTTAAAGAAATTCAGTTTCAAAAGATATTACATTAAAGTCAGATAGATTTATCAATTATTACAAGTATGAAAGTAAGTTTTGCTAAAGAGCCAATCACAGGCCAACGTTCCATTATAGATTCAGACAAGTTTAGAATCATAGTTATTGCATTTATATTTTCTATTTTTGCTATTTCAATAGTTTGCATATTACTGCTAGCGTATTCCAATAGTGACAAAGCCATTTCATATTACCAGGCATAAGATAGATTCAAAGTTACAAAGATGAAGTTCAAGGAATACCTAGTGGTCACCCTTATCATATTCCTACCAATAGTAATTAACTTTCCAGACGTTCAAACCGTCAGCATAATTTTCACCCTTTATACCTTATTCATTCTATTGTTAAGCCTCGAGTTAGATCCCAGAGTGATTCCCGAGGACCCTTAATCCTATTCAAAGCATGTTATGCGACAGCGAGTGCCCAGAGCACGAGCGAGGGCCAAGCGAGCCCGTACTTTAATATTTTATATTCATTTTTATATTCTATTATCAATTTGTCAGTAAAGGCATAATGCCACATAGAGAGGACCAATGGGACTCATCCCGGTCTATTTTATTACAAGTAGCGCTAGTTGCGTTAGATTTAAGTATTTTATGTATTCTCGACACAGCGATAGCCAATAGGAGCGATTCCTGGCAATTCGACATAGTTTTACAAAGTTTCAGATTGATTTATAATATTACTAGGCCAAGAGCCAATAAGAGAGCGAGACGCGACTTATTTCTATGAGCGCGACGGATCGACCGCGAAGCGAGAGAGTGTCGTGAAGCGCGTGATTGCGTTATATAACTTCATTTACGTTTCATTTCATTTATTCCCTGTCGAGACAAGTACGATTAG